CGGATAACATTTTTTATTTCGTTCGTTGTCGCTATTCACTCATTTCGTTTTCGTGCGTCGCCGCTATTATCTTGGCTCGTTTACAAGCGTTCACAATTTGATACATACAAAACATACAAATTTTGCGAATTGTCTCACGTTCATAGCGTTTTGTTTGCGAATTGTTTTTTAAATCACAACTTTACTGGCCCATCGCTTACAAATCAAAATATGATTTTTACTGTCGAATGTACCATTTTTCAAAACACATAAAATATAATTATCGATTCGATTCCAAAACTGTAACAATTAAAATAAAATGCAGACGTTATCCAATTATTTGTTTTGTATTTGATTTGCAATAAAAGAAACAACAAACTAATTGCACATACCGAATCAATATATCGAGCTATAGTTCTATTGCTAAATTCTATAAACTGAAAATCGCAATGTTATTGGATGTATGCCAGAATGAAACATATTGTAAATACATAATTCATTTTTGTTATAAAATAAATGAAAGTCACTAACATCCATAAAAAAAGAAGTTTCAACTGAAGAGTACTTCATTTTGAACTTTTTTTATTGATTTATTTAATTGAATTTACGTTTGCAATTGAACGTCAAGAAATAAAAATATGAAAGTTCAATACATAATTCATTTAATGGGCAAGCCATTTTTATTATACTTTACATTGTGGTTAAGCTTGTCGTAAATTGATTTCCTTCACGATTTCCTTCATTCTGACAGAGTCATAACACCGACTCCGTTGTCGCATATACTTTTTCTCTTTGTTCTCTTTTGCGTGTTGCTGAAGATGACAAATAAATTTTGTCGAAATGCATACAAAAGTTTTTAGAAATTCATCAAATAAATTTCTTCATATTGTGAACTCAACTTAAGGTGTTTTAAATTATTTAATTAGATTATTGTGAATACACAATTTTAATATTATTTTTTTGATTTTGCTTTTATTTTATTTGTTTTCTGACATTTGCGTACAAAACGATGACATTTTTTATATAAGTCGCCATATCTAGTTCATGGACTTTAGTTTGGAACGTCCCTTTTAAGTTGAGCTTTAAATCCATTTACGTCAAAGCTATGGCGTTCTTGTAAATGGTCTAAAAGGCCAAAGGTAAGTCTATTGCATTCACTAATTATATTATACCATTCCTCTCCTCTTGACTTACGATCAATGGTCCCTTGTTTCACTTCATTAACGATTTGATAAAAAATACTATTTTCTTGTGCGAGTTCGTTGATTTTGTCTAGGACTTGTTTAATGTATATTCCAATAAATAACTTTGTTACAATAAGTCCTTCCCACTGGTTTACTGTTTTTTTGAATTTTCTTTTTGCTTCCGGCGTTTGTCTATTCATTATATTTAAATATTTTTTGTAAATCCGATCGAATGGTCGACAACATTCTTCATACTCAGAATGCAGCAATATAAGCTCATCAAAAGTTGGTTTAAAAAATAAATCGATGTCATCCAGCATATTTACTAAAAATGTATCGTTATTTGTCTCCAATGCGGAATTTGCGAGATATTGCTTAAAACCGTTCATTCTTCCTTCGATGGCTCGCATGTCGTCAAGATATTTTTCGCCAAATCTTGCATCATCGTTGCCAAACACCAAATGGATCTGTTTTTGTGGAATATTTATCAATTTTTATAATAATAAACAATTTGTCGATTTTTGCGGACTGACGGAAAGAAAACGAATTTTTATAAGTAACACAGAAGCGAAGAGCTTCTCTTCAACTTAAGACAGCCAATTTTGTTCACAATTATTGAACTGACTTCTATACTCAGAGAAATCGAACAGTGTGCACAGGAATGTGTTCATTGTATTTCGCCCATTCACACTGAAGTTGTTTCTTCCCAGTGTGAATCGTCATTTTACAGTTTGATTTTGCAAGTTCAGTCTAAAATGATTTTGCGTGAAAACAATATTTTTTTTAATTATTAATTTTTTTTCATGTTTTTATTTTATTGTTAACCCTTAACCGGGCAGGTCAAAATCCTAACGTTATCGGGCAAAAGATTTAAAACTTAATTTGGTTTGATATTGATTCAATTTGTAGTGATTTTTCGCTCTAGAAAAAAATTAGCGTTGCGATGTGAAAAAACACAAACAAAATTCATCTCTCATGTTTATATTTGGGATAATTTGTATTATTTTTCAACATTTAATCGATTTTGTACATTGAAAGAGCCAAAATAAGTGATATATTCAAGTTTGAAGCGATACACACAACAATTAAAGTGTTTTTTATGCATGAAAATGTGCGACGGTAAATATCCAAGACTATGTGAATCAAATAGACTTGAATGTCCATTTTTAAGTTAAATAGCATTAATGAATTTTTTTCTTCTTGATTCATTAGGAAAATTTAAAATAAATGTAAATAATTAAAAATAAAATGAAAATAATTTTAATTGGAATGAAAAAAAAATTGTGAAGAGTGTGTGTGTTTTTCAAATGAACCGTCGCATAATTTAAAAAAATAGTTTTTTTCATGCAAAATTATTTTACACTGAACTTGCAAAATCAAACTGTAAAATGAAGATTCACACTGGGAAGAAACAACTTCAGTGTGAATGGGCGAATTACAATGATCACATTCATGTTCACACTGTTCAATTTCTCTGAGTACAAAGTGTTCTTATATAACTAGTAATAAATGAAGATATTGTTTTTGTTCAAATAAATTTAAGTAAAAACATCGTTACTTACGCCAGATGTTAAAGCAGCTACCAAAAAGAATAAGTCAATTGAAGTCTTCATTGTTTTTCTCGCAAAAATATACTAAGCCGAACATCACAAAAACAGATATTTATATGATAAACCAGATGTTAGAAGTTTGATCACACATAGATCTTGCTTAAAACAATAGCTCAAATATGCGCACAAAGAAATTCTTCAAATTATTAAACAGTATATTTGCATTCTTTTGGCCGTATATTGAGTTTGTTTTCGTCTTCTGGAAATATTTCTTTCAATGGCGAAACTAAAAGTCAGCTTTGAGGTACGAGTTACTATGCCATTACTTTTTTATTTGATATTACTCGTTATATGGAATTTTCCACCAGTATGTGAGATACTTGCTAAAACGTGTAAGAATCATTTTTCGTCAAAGACTGAGGACATTTCGAAGCTTACAGTGATGGTTTTTTCCTATCTAAATAACGCTAGCTATTCGCAGCATCTGTACAGCATTGCTGCCTAGGTGCTGAATCGAAGCAGTTGCCGCACGCGTTTTGTGCCACACAACATATTGTCATATAGTCCAAGTAACCAGTGAGTTCACAGAGTATGATACACTAATACCACAGTCAGTATACAAACGCATGTCGAACAGAGAAAGAACGCTAATGTGGTACAAACGAAGTGTGTTGCGCATGCGGCAACCGCTACGATTCATCTGATCTCATATTGACTAGCCATCCAAAAAATATAAGGCATATTTGTTTTATCAGTAATAACACCATAACGCATGACTGATAGCAAAAATGTACGACAAGTTCATACCAAAATGTCCCCAATATCGTTGCATCATAGATCGAAATGAAACAAAGGAGGAAGCACAATCATTTTTGTTTATAAAGCTTCCGGTATTTAATTTATTTGTGCATAGCTCTAAAAATTGGATTGAGAAGATAGTGGAATCTCCCTGGAATTTAAGTAGCATATCCCCATCGTAAATAAACTAGAATATGAACTATGAATTTAACCATGAAATACCATAAGCTCATCATCCATATTACTATTTTTCTACTTTGTTCCATAAAAATGTCCGTTATCCCAATTGAAAAATCGATGAAAATAGGAAAATTCGTCGGTGATAAAATATTCGTATGATATATGTCAACCACTGTGTTGATGTGATATATAATGTTTGAATAGCAAGTGTGAAGAAACTCTGAATAATTCTCACACTCTCTGGTATGTGTTGATGATACGATTTCGATGTCACTGTTATCAATTCTTGACCACTGCCATATGCGATTTGTTGAATAGTGAACGGCATGCGGGCAATTTTTTTTATGATAAACGTGACTGTTTAATCCATAAGAACTAAATGAATATTGTTCAGATACAGAACTTTGATTACACAAAATTCACTGAAAGGGAGAAAACGTTCCCCGAATATTTCTCTTATTGAATCATTTTGAAGCCTAACTGAGCGTGAAGCGATAAATTTCTTGCAAAACTACGCCCGAATCTAACGATACAATAAATATCATCTGAAATGAATCGGAAACGAGTATAGCGATGGAAAACTCTTTGCCATACAAAACAGTTTAAGGTAATTGTTTTATGGTGCTTTATCGCGTACATTGTTTGCTTCGTAGGGTGGAAATGAAATTAAGATATTGTTACTGCAGGCATGAAAACCACTCGAGTTTTTAGTTTGATTCGACGAAGATGAAAAACAAACGTTTGAACAAAGCAACGGAAATGAATACAGGTTTTAATGAAAACCATTCGTTGCAGTACTTTTCGTTTACTGTACATTTTAACAAAGCAACGTGGAATATTATGTTAAAAATTGTACTCAATTTTCTGCGATAATCTACTTGGTTTACGCCTATAAACTGGAAAAAATGTGAATGTGTTCATTTATAATTTTATTCCAGTTGCTTTACAATTGACTCAATTTGGCAATTCAAACAAAAAAAACGAAATCGATGAACCCAAACGCGGTAATTAATTTGCTTGAAGCAATTTGACCAATACAAACAATTCTCCATGTAATAAAATTACGATGGAATTTATGCTTTTGCCAATGTATGTTACTACAGTTCAAGGTTAATAAATAATAATTCAATTACCAATTGAATGGCGAATGACAATTATGTAAATATAGTTTATACCTTTTTATAAACCCTTTTGAAAGAAAACACAATATTTTTTGTGTCAGATGATAAATGGTCTTTGTTTGGGATATGATTTGTTGAAAATATTAGCAAAAATGCACTCAATATATCGGGCTACAGTTCTATTGCAGGTGCTGCTCGTCAATTTATAAACTAAAAATCGCAATGTTATTGGATGTATGCCAGAATGAAACATATTGTAAATACATAATTCATTTTTGTTATAAAATAAATGAAAGTCACTAACATCCATAAAAAAAGAAGTTTCAACTGAAGAGTACTTCATTTTGAACTTTTTTTATTGATTTATTTAATTGAATTTACGTTTGCAATTGAACGTTAAGAAATAAAAATATGAAAGTTCAATACATAATTCATTTAATGGGCAAGCCATTTTTATTATACTTTACATTGTGGTTAAGCTTGTCGTAAATTGATTTCCTTCACGATTTCCTTCATTCTGACAGATTCAAAAGAAAATGATGGTTTCAAATCTTCCAAAGTTTTTTGTGTTGATTCGAAACGTGCGAAAATCTCAAAAGCGTAATTTTTGCGATCAGTCATTTCATCCAATAAACGTTTGGCCATTTGCTTGATGTCATTACGCTCTTTGGCTGCTTTCTTTTCGTGGGCAATAAATGTGTCTTCCAAGTTATACATTTGATCTGCTGTAAATTTTTTCATTGCTTTAGCATTATCTTTTAATAACTTTTTATCGGCGTTTGTCACTTCGGTCACGTATTTCTGATTTGCTTGCTCAAATGCAATAACTTTGCGATTCAAATTATCAAATTCATTCAAACCACTTGTAAATGCGGATAAAATGTATGACGTTTCTCGTTTTAGACTTTCAAATGACCTTTTCATATTGACAATTGATGAGTTAAGCTCTCTGTGTTTCTGGCCCAGATTTACAAGGTACAAAGAGTTTATTTGATAAAATGAGGGATCCTTGAACAGATTTTTGGGCTTGGGAGGCTTAACTTTATCCTTTTTGTCACCACACAATGCAGAATAGAACTTTATTGTAAAAATGTAGAGAAATCGTATGAGTAATTGAGTATATCGAAAAACTATCAAAAAGTATCGATAGACACTAACACAACTTACGAAAACCGCAGCAACAAAAACAAATCGCATCATAAACTTCATTTTAAACTCTTTTCAATATCAAACTAATTCACAATTTCCAGGCGATACTGTTAAAATTTAACAAAAGTTGAGAAATATATATACAGATGTATGCAAGCAAACAATATGTGACGAATTGAATCTCATTAAAACTGAAGTCGCAATAAAATTACTTAATATTACAAGGGGCCGCCTTTGTGGATTCCAGACATTGGGTTTGAGCTATATATAAGGCTGCTGCTATTTCATAGCACCTATTCCATAGGCGCTATGCAATGCGTGTATTGTGTACGGTGTATTCGTTTCCCCTTCACGTTTAGTAGTATGGTAAATAGCCCAAACCTAATGTCTGGTGGATTCATTTCAAAGGACATTGTAAAAAGAATTAGAAAAAGAAAGAAATTTATAAAGAATTAGATTAAAATAGTCGAAAATTGCAAGCCCCCTAGCTGGCATGGTATTAATATTAAACAGTTCACATTTAAATAAAATGGATATGGAAATACAAATTGTGAGTAATAAGACCTCCAAGATTATTACTGTTATGAACTAAGATTATTACGGCTGTAAAACTATTTATTACATGCCATTAACTTAACAGATTCGCAACCAATAATGTTTGGCAGGTCTTTGGATTTTGGCAAATTGGTCTTTGGATTTTGGCAAAAGTATGTAAACAGAAACTGCCTGCTCAACCATTATTTCGTCTGTAAAATATGTCAATTCATTAAATTAAAATCGATGAAATTATTCTAGCTGAGTAATGTTGCACGCAAGAAGTGCTTATAACCGTATAATACCACAATTAATAATATTTTTCATAATAAAATGAAAATGAATCATATTAGAATTAAAATCACATGGTTACATGTGACACATTTGTATCTGTGCTCAAGCACAATTATTCGTATTTTATTCGACTTTGAAAAGTGTACCAAAGAAATGAAAGTATAACAATGACGCCATATTGCATCAGTGATGGGATTTTCAGGTGTTTTTCTGTGGCTTAAGCACAATATAATCCCGTTAGGCTTTAGACTCATTATTTTTGAATTTAAATTTGAAGAGCACTTAAAATCTCCAACTGAAGCAGAATGTTCAAATAAAATTTACAAAATTCCAACATGGATGAGGAGCATAACATTTATTGGTGGAATTTGCATGGATAAATGAATGCCGTAAAAGAATGTTCTGAAATGAAATTCTCCATATACTAAGACCAACCATTCACCATTTGGTATTATACGATGCACTTGAGCTGAGCCTCTGCTCACGTCGAAGCCACTTTACAACGTAAGGTATTTTATATTATATTCGTTGATTTTTAACCCAAATTCCCAATAGGCGAAATTGCACACATCTATACCGATCCTATATTTGGCACTGACAGGTGCTTTTCTAACATTTCTTATTGTGGTGCCTCTTTGATTTGAAATTGAGTTTCCAAAGTTTCGTTTCTCTTCCAACAGCTGTCATCGCCATCATCATTGAATTCACATGCAAAATTACTTTTGCTCAAATTTAAATAGCTTTCATGTATATAGTTCATGTCTGTGGGTTTAAATGTGTCAAACTCCCATGAGGTCAATGATGAAAAATGTGACTTCATGGTCTTTGACACTCGAAAGCTCTCAAATTCCATTGACACAACTACTTCCGATTACGCAAATCGTCGTTCCGTCGGTATTCGTTTAGTCAAATGATAATAATAATAATCGAAGTGCAAGTGCGTCATTCAAAGTTATCATCATTCTATCGTTTGTCATATTTTCATCGACATTTCAGTACGAAAGACAGCCAATAAATGTTAATATGGATAAATCACATGCTCTTAACGGTTATGTGCCATCAATGTGTTCAAGAGTTTGTTGAAATGAAAACATTTGGACCGCAGACAAAAACCATCGAGCGGTAAAGCAATGGGTATACACTATACAATGTAGGTTATGGTTTCGATAATAAATGAAAGACGAAGAAAAAAAAATAAACAACAGCAACAACACGTATAAACATTTATTGTTGATAGCCATCAAGCGGTGTTATGGTGTGTCACCATATTCGCTTAGCGAAGTGGAATTCAGTGATTGGACGTGAGCGATTGATCTGGACGTGTGATAAAAACAAAAACAAAAACGGTCATGGTGAACATGGACGATGGACAGTGCTCCAGTTTTTCTTGTCTCCACTTCACAACACAACATCAGTGCTCTTGAAATTTGCGGTAGATTGGCCACTCACTGCGTCTCAGTATATTAAAAAAACGGAAGGCGGAAGTCAAAAGCATGAAATGTACTTTTCTCGCAATCTCAGAACAAAAATGCAATTAGAAATACAAGTTTGTTGAACGAAAATGATTATAAATGTTGGTAACAAAAGCTTTTTAGGTATAGTATGTGCAATTGTGCATAAATGTGTAACATCATTAAATTCTGGTGTGGTAAATGACATCCAATATAAACCATAATAAATGGTCTTTTGATTGTTGTGTGGCAAGTTTTCGTGCTGACACTCTCTGGCGTTGTTCATTCTCCAAATGATTATTTATTATTATTTTCCGGTGGTAATAATGAATTTCTTCGCTCATGCAAATGAAAAATGGCCTCCTTATAACCGGAAAATAGTCGAGTGTGAGCGCAAGAAAGAAACAAAAATTGCAACATTTCTTCCGAGTAAGTGGAGGAAATTCAAAAAGGTCATCATTTCCCACGGCCAACAAACTTCATGGCGAAACAGTTACACTCTCAAGTTAAAAGTATTAACGTAATTTATACTTTAATTAAATCAATGAAAAAGTCACGAAATGAATGAAGAACACAGTAAAACTTGACTTACTCCGAAGACCTGAGCAACTCACATACACTCTAATTAATATAATCGCTTGTTGGACATTTTTACATGTTTGTTGACGCTTTACATCGATTACTGTGTGTTGTAGTAAGACTGAATGGAAGCATAAAATGTGATGTTATAACAACTCTCGTAAATCATCTATGAATCTATTTGTTCAAGCACACAAAGAAGCCATCACATTGAACTTGTAGAACATTGAAAGAACACGAATGCATTCGTATTAAAAAGTTTATAACTTTGATTTGTATCTTAAAGCAAAAAAAAAGACTTAATTAAAGACTTTGAATAGAGCAGCGAAATTCTTTTTTATTTTCCGGTGTCATTAATGCGAAAGGCATTTCGATGGCATTGCATAAGTTTTGTGTTTCTTTTTCTATAATTAATGCATTTTTAAAAGCTATTCCATTCAAAGTCGATTAACGACTTGATTTCCCCAGAGTTGTAAATTACAAAAGTTCTAAAGCGTGACAACTTATAAGTACATCCGCCTCCTGTCGAAAAGTCTTTTTGAGATTAAAATAGTTTCATCAATCGATATACGTTGTTGAATTTGCTGTTGTTCCTACATTTGTTATTGCGGATGGTACACGTGCTCAACCTACGGAACGCATTCTTCTCTACTTTGAAATGGGAATAGGATTCCTGACACCCACAGCACTAAGTCTTTTGGCTGATAGATAACAATCTATCTAAACGCCTTCCAAGGAACATTCATGAGCCAAACACAACTGAACATAAGGTGCGGTCGTATTTGCGTCGTTCTTATCTTCAACCACATTATTCGTTGGTACATTTAAAATGTTCGCCTCATCTCGTGCGTATTCAAATATTATGAAATCGAACAAGTTACTAAAAAAATAACGATAGGTATACTCTCATTCGGTTTATTACACAGCAATTTAGCCAAAGGTGTCAATCACCTTTGATTTTATTTTCTTTGTTGTGACACTCTGTGAGTAAACACACGTGTGTACACATCCTGACGATGTATTTTTTATGTGATTATTGTTTTTCCATGGAATGGGGTATAAAAATACAAAGTAATGAGTTGTTATTGAAAAGCATGGCGTGCACGAAACGATGGTAAAATTCAACAACAAAAAATTAATTGACACATTAACAATGAATGAATTTTACGGTGAGAAAAAAAGAATGAATGGAAAGAAGAAAAAAAACAGCACCTCCTTGTGGAATCAATGTTCATTATAAAAAAAATCAAATTGAAATCTCTCATGCTCGGCATTTTTTATTATCCAAAAATGATTATGGTAATGCTCGTTAATATTTTACATCGTCAGACTGTTGATGGCACGATACGGCGCGAGCGAGCATCGTCAGCTAATTTTATTATTCAAATTTAAGAGCGAAAGCGAGATCATCGCTATAATTTGCATTTGAATATACAACTTATTTGGACTAATTTTTTATCATTTTGAATGTGCATGTACAAGCTAATTTCACGGTTGACAAGCGCCTAACGCCACTTTCATTAGAATTATACGTGTTCACATATCTTTTCATGGAGCAATGATTTACGCACCTAATTATGTGAATATTTTTTTTTTTTTCACAAACGGCAACCGCACAAAAGGAGTGAATTATAATTGGGTGCACCACTTTCACCATGTTGAGATTTAAATGAATTATTATTAGAAACCAATTGCCCGTGGCAATTAGAGACAAATAAAGTGAAAATACTTTGAATAAATACGTTACAAAAATCCAATCAACTTACTCGGGTCAATGAATTGCGTTTGAACTTTGACCAAAGGTTAGTAAAGTCTATTTGTTGTTTAGTAAAAAGTATGTTTATAATTAATTGAATTTTTATTAATGTATAAGAGTGCGCAATTCTTCAAATTTCCTTGAAGTCGATTTTGAATTTCATGTGTGCTATATGCTGCTATAACGCAATAACGTTACTTAAATATGTTTACGTTTCAGTTCAACGTTATCCAGTTATGCCATTTATACACACAATTTGAGTTGAATCAATATTCAATATGTTCTGCATTGGGTTTAATGAACATCACATGATGTCAGCCATCATTAATAACACATTTCAGGTGTTTCAATCACCTCAAGCAATTCTTGTCTTAAAACAACAAGCGTAGCATATAAGAATCGGCGAACACTTTCAGATTTTTCGACAACAAATTGAATGCATCAAAGATCATCTATGTAATGATGATATATACATTGTTTGATAGTATC